TGGGGGGGTGGGGGGGGGGGTTTTTGGATGTAAATCAGTGGTTCCCAACCTTTTTTTTGGCCCATGCCCTACCTAAGAATCTCTAAAATCATGATGCCCCCCCCCCCCTCTCCATGATCTATAATTCTTACTTTACTCAAAAAGTTAACTCTACTCACAGGGAGGAAGGCTAAAAGCCCATTTACTTGGTTTAAACAAGGTTCAAATTGCCCCCGTTAAAAATCAAATCCCCCCACCATTGGGAACCACTGATGTAGAGTAAAGAAACCAAGGGGGAGGGGGATATCCTGGCCAGTTCATATTGCAGGTAGTCCTCGACTTACAACAGCCAGTTTAGTCACCATTCAAAGTTACAACAGGCCTGAAAAAAGTGACGAAGGACTAGTTTTTTCACACTTACGATCATTGCAGCCTCCCCATAGTCACGTGATCAAAATTCAGGGCACTTGGTAACTGACTCACCTTTACGACGGTTGCAGTGTCCCGGGTTACGTGATCCCCTTTGGAGACCACTTGAGACAAGCAGAGTCAACGGGGAAGCCAGATTCACTTAACAACCTTGTTACTAACTTGACAGCTATGGCTTGCACACTTAACTGTGGCAAGAAAGGTCGTAAAACGGGGTAAAATCCAACAAAGGCCTCACTTAACAACAGGAATGTTGGTCTCCATTGTGGTTATAAGTGAAGGACTACCTGTATATGGAAGTGGGGGCCACCTGGGGATGTAAAGAAACCAAATCTCTCATGCCCCACCCCCCCACTCATAAAAAAAAGGAGAGGAAACATCCTGGCCAGTTTGCATTGCAAATAGTCCTCGGCTTGCAAGAGTTCATTAAGTGACCATTCAAAGTGACAACAACAATGAAAAAAGGGACTTATGATTGTTTTTCACACTTATAACCGTTGTAGCAACCCCTCAATCATGTGATCAAAATTCAGACGCTTGGCAACCGACTCATATTTATGACGGTTGCAGGGTCCTGAGATTATGTGATCGCCTTCTGACAAGCAAAATCGATGGGGAAGTCAGATTTGCTTAACCACTGTGTGATGAACTTAACTGCAGTTAACTTCACTTAGCGGCTCTGCCAAGAAAGGTCATAAAATGAGGCAAGCTCATTTAATAAATGTTTCCACTAAGCAACAGAAATTTTGGGCTCAGTTGTGGTCATAAGTCAAGGACGACCTGTACTAAATCTGTGGTCTTGTCCTCCCCTCCCCCATTCTTAAAATGTCAATTTAAAACTTTTAAGTTAATTTTTTGAAGGCCTGTTACTGCTCACCATTACCATGTGAAAAGAATAAGCTGCTTTTCTCAACCTGGAGTTCTTTGGGATGTGAATTGACCATCTTTGTCCAGCTTGGTGATTGGTTGGGCTGTTTAGATAAGGTGGGGGCATTGTCTGATGGGTGTGAGATTGGAGAAGGGTGATCAGGGAGCCAGACTGCCAGATGGCTCTTGGGGTATTGTTTAGCTGTAAGGGGGAGGGACTTGTAATCTGAATTTTGCATTGATTTCTGGTGGCAGGGAAGGGGCGGCATTAGAAGCAATGAGATTGCTCTGGAAAGAATCCAAGGTAAGGAAGGCAGAGCAAAAAAGAAAAAAAAAGCTATGGCAGAGGCTTATTTGTGTATGTAATTAGGAAGAGTTGAATTGGTGCGAACACAATAACATAGATAAATAAACAACATTTTGGGAGCACTTTCGTAGTGGTTTTCCAGTTCTTAAAATGGAGAGGGGAGGACTGGTTGGGGAGGATTTAGGGATCAGAGCTCTAGAATGAGAAAAAGGAAAGGAAAATATAAACAGGGTGTTGCGGTTGGTCACTTGGGATAACCCAGAACTAAAGCCGAAGTATTTATTGAAAAGAGAGTATTAGATTGTTTTAGCAGCCCTGATACAAAGGAAGTATCTTTTGGTATTTCAAAGAGGAAAAGCAGAGTCAAAGAAAACTTCTGTATTGGGAAATTGTAAACATATCTGAGTTAAGGATCATTGTTGTGTATAATATGATCGGCTGTGTAGGTAGCATATATGTGGACTCCCCTATGCTTTGAGTTAAAATCCTTTTATGTCCTGTTCCTGAGGGCAGAGCCAGGGGAGATGTGGCCTCAAAAAGAAAAAAAAGAATTGTAGGTCTTTTTTTTCGTGTTCATACAGTAACTGTGCTCAAGGTGGTTGTTAGGACAAAATGGAAAAAAACTGCATTTATAACTCCAACTTGAGAAGGTAAATTGTGTTTACCTTCGTGTGTGAGAAAGAGCCCGATTGAGACACCACAGGAAATGTTTTAGACTATTGTCCAATACCTCCATAAAAGTCAGGTGGGTAGAATCTGAGATATGCGGACCCTTAAACCTGAGGAGAAGCTGTTAAAATGCTAACTAAAGGCGATGTCTATCTGCTCAAACCTGAGCTCTCTTTATTTGGTGTATAAAGAAGTGTACAAGAATGGGGAAATCTCTATGTTCTTTTGCTGCCCTCTACAGTTTCTTGGAAGTTATTGTCATGGTGTGTACGTGACCAAGCCCTCCTATGCTTCCCCCTCCCTCAACATCCTCTTTGTTAACTCTGCGGTGGTGACTGGGGGGAAAATAAAAGCTTTTCCTAGTCCTTTAAGCAAGAGGGAACATTCGGTTTTGTGTCTCTCCCTTTCTCTTCTTTCCCTATTGGATGGTTTTATTACTCGAAAAAACTAGTAGTTAGAGAGATGGGATGATTGGAGAAATGATTAAATCAGGATGTTAAAGGAATACCCCTGTCTTTTACTGTCTGGCTCCCTTGGGGTAAGAATTCTAGTGACTAGAATCCTATATCTATCATTGGCATTTAGCATTGTAGTTCTATTCTGTGCTTTGATACTCTAGACTAAAATAAGTCTTGTTGAAGCAAAAGCAGACTTCCAACCAACATGGACATTCCTTTGATCGATTTTTTGCATTTGTAACGCCTCCTGATTCCACAATGACTTTGGGGAGGCACCACAGATGGACCAAAAATATACATTGCTGTAGCCCACCTCAGGAAAACCGTAATCTTGGCTGTGTATTTAGTGCCCACCACGCTGAAAACGTATTTTCTTTCTTCGTAGATGAAGAACATTGAAGTTGAAGAACAAATGAGCAGCTGGCTCTTCAAACAGCTTAAACTCCATTTGGATCAGGAACGGAAATACCAACCCAGGGAAAAGGGGCTGAGTCTCATTGAGTGCACTACTGAGGTGAGTAGATAGATGTTTGCCTTTTGGGTGTGATAGCAATAGCACTTAGACTTATATACCTCTTCCCAGTGCTTTTACAGCCCCCTCTAAGCGGTTTACAGAGTCAGCATTTTGCCCCAAACAATCTGGGTTCTCATTTTACTCACCCTGGAAGGCTGAGTCAGTCTTGAGCTGGTCAGGATCAAACTGCTGTCGATCAGCAGAAGTAGCCTGTAGTTCTGCATTCTAACCACTGCGCCACCGCAGCTCATGATGCTGAAGAACCTCAGCTGATATGATTTATTTCTGGAGGAAGTGGCCAGACGTACAGGAAGGATCTTAATGCAGCAGAGCAGGAAGCTGTCGATGTTAATAATTTGTTTAGAGCAGTTTGCTTGCTTTGTATAAAATGGATCTATTCAACTGTACTAATTCAGCATAATAAACTATGGCTTATTCAACTAGTATAAATGCTGGATATTGGCTTCCCGCCTTTTACAATAGATACTTAAGCAGATTGTTACCATTGGTTTTTAAAGCTGTTGGAGCATTGCTTCCCAACAGTTTTACTGAAAAACGCAGTGATCAGACTATATATAGCTGAAATTACATATTTGTCAAGTGTTTCTTTGCTTGGTTCAGAGATAGTTGTGGATAATGATTCTTTGTCTCAGAAAAAGGTACCTGCCAAATCGGAAATGGGCATTACTCTTCACCAAGACTAGCTATTTAATGAATGAAGCAATCCTTGTTTCTGAAAGAAGCAATGATAGGTTCTTCCCAGGAAATCTACTTGGAAAAGGAAATTTACAGTTACAGGTAGTCCTCGATTTATAACCATTTGTTTAGCGACCATTCAGAGTTGCAATGGCACTGGGAAAAGTGACTTACGACCATTTTTTTTTGCACTTACAACCATTGCGGCATCCCCATGGCCACACGATCAAAGTTTGGACGCTTGGCACCTGGCATGTCTTTATGATTCTTCTGGGGTCACGCGATCACCATCTGTAACCTTCCTAGCCGATTTCTGACAAGCAAAGTCAATGGGAAAAGCCAGATTTGCTTAACGACCGCATGATTCATTTAACAAGTGCATTTAACAAGTGATTTGCTTAACAACTGTGGCAAAGGTCATAAAATGAGGTGCAACTCCTTTAACTACTTTGCAATGGAAAATTAGGCCAATTGCAACCATAAATCGAGAACTACCTGCATTGAGATAGAATTGGTTCTGACCCCTTGCCGTCTTAGTTATGTCTCTCATCCTGCTGTCAAGTAATTGGCCATCGCTGGTTCATCAGAATGTATAGATCGTCCAATGAAAACCTTTGATCCAGAGTTCTGCCACTAACATTAAGATGTTGCTTGTCTCTTTCAGAATGAAAACACCTTATGCCCAAGACTGAGGAATGCAAAAGTGGAAGATCTCTGGAGTTTGGTCAACTTCTTTGGATTTGCCACAGAAACCTTTGTCCTGGCTGTCAACATTCTTGACAGGTTTTTGGCACTCATGAAGGTATTTAGACGAAAGGAAATGCTACATCATAGTTTGCACAGTTTTATATTAGGTAGACAGATAAACAGCCATTACTATTTGTTCTGGATTTAAGGTGCTTGTCTAGTTTATCTCCAAGGAGTTAGACTAACATATAACTATTCAGAATCTGTTCTATTCTATGTTTTCCTTCCTTCCTTCCTTCCTTCCTTCCTTCCTTCCTT